CAAAACGTTTCAGAATCAGCCAGTATTTGTATGTTGAACATTCGAGTAACAGGGTGTAATCTTCTAAGTTGTTTCAGTAGCAGACAGTATGTTGAACATTCGAGTAACAGGGTGGCATCTTAAGTCGTTTCAGTGACAGCCCGTATTGTAACGTTGAACATTCGAGTAACAGGGAGTAATTTAAAGTCGTTTCATTAACAACCAGTATGGGTATGTTGAACATTCGAGTAACAGGGAGTAATCTTCTAAGTTGTTTCAGTAGCAGACAGTATTGGTACGTTGAACATTCGAGTACCAAGGTGTCATCTTAAGTCCTTTCAGTGACAGCCAGTATTGGTACGTTCAACATTCGAGTAACAGCGAGTAATCTTAAGTTGTTTCAGTAACAGCAAGTATTGGTACGTTGAACATTCGAGTAACAGGGTGTCATCTTAAGTCGTTTCAGTGACAGCCAGTATTGTAAAGTTGAACATTCGAGTAACAGGGAGTAATTTAAAGTCGTTTCATTAACAACCAGTAGGGGTATGTTGAACATTCGAGTAACAGGGAGGAATCTTAAGTTGTTTCAGTATCAGCCAGTATTGGTACGTTGGACATCCGAGTAACAGGGAGTAATCTTCTTAAGTTGTTTCAGTAACAGCCAGTATTGGTACGTTGATCTTTCGAGTAAAAGGGAGTAATCTTAAGTCGTTTCAGTATCAGCCAGTATTGGTACGTTGTACATTCGAGTAACAGTGAGTAATCTTAAGTTGTTTCATTATCAGTCAGTATTGGTACGTTGAATAGTCGATTAACAGGGAGTAATCTTAAGTTGTTTCAGTAACAGCAAGTATTGGTACGTTGAACATTCGAGTAACAGGGAGTAATCATAAGTTGTTTCAGTATCAGCCAGTATTGGTACGTTGGACATCCGAGTAACAGGGAGTAATCTTCTTAAGTTGTTTCAGTAACAGCCAGTATTGGTACGTTGGACATTCGACTAACAGGGAGTTATCTTCTTAAGTTGTTTCAGTAGCAGACAGTATTGGTACGTTGAACATTCGAGTAACAGGGAGGAATCTTAAGTTGTTTCAGTATCAGCCAGTATTGGTACGTTGTACATTCGAGTAACAGTGAGTAATCGTAAGTTGTGTATTCGAGTTACAGTGAATATTGCAGTAATAATGAGTAATGCATTATATGAGAGTTATCCCCCTTTTCATGATCAAATGTTTATGTGTTTCAATCTTTGCATTAATCCTAGTTTACGTGTGCAGAGCGATGAAAAAAATAAATACAAGTAAGTATTGTTTTATATGTGTAATAGTAATGTATTGAACAGATTAAACATCTTACCGTCACCAGAGATAGTTTAAGATGTATACCAGTAGCTAACTGAAGTATAAACCTACTTCATCGTATCAGTCACGGACTATCATCTCACCAGCTAACAATATAGATAAGGTGCCATGTAAATACAGGTCTCCTTATCTAGTACCTCGTATTTTGTAGATATTGTATCTGTTCTGGGAACGTCACACATTGATTTGGTCCATAATCCACTAGCTATATGGTGACAACGCGTGTCCCCACAACAGTGGCGCAGTGTCTGTTGTTCTCAATTCTCAATTTTAATTAATGTTTTAGTAAATCACTAGTATTTCTAGTATCGTTTTGTTGATATTCTCCTTTAACGGTGTAAAATTGGTTTCTTTGTAAATGTTTTGTATTAAGTTGTAACAGTGGTGGATTCTCCCTTGTGGCTCCACACGAGTGACTAGTTTTGTTGTGAGCGTGTAGCACCTGATCGTCGTGGAGTGTGTTATGAACCTGTTTGAGACCGCTCTCTGTCGTGTCATTACCTCCACACACTGATAAACGTCCTACATTATCTGTAAGTGTGTCGTAGTAGTGGATCTCCTCCTGCACTCCCCTTTCACGTTCACTCTCCGCATATTCGTCCTTGCGTTGAGGCTCAGTTTTGCGTTCAGGCTCAGTTTTGTCACAGAAGGATTTAGCACCCAGTAGTCCTATCCCTTCATGGGAATTTCCCAATCTGTTGTTGACCATGCCCCTAACCATGACCTCATCAACACTTGAGCTCACTTGTTTTGTGATGTCACTGTTACTTGAGGTAAGTTCTGACACAGCATCCAATGAAACAAAGGAATCTGCGGAATGTATTGATGACTTCTGGAAATCCTCGTCCACATCGTCATCATGAAACATTTCCTCATCGGTCATCCACGTTTGTCTATCTTCAAGTTTTTCTGCATAAAATATTAACCGTTGGTGGTTATCAGATTGAAATGGTCAACTTATTTCAATATGATTGACAGTACGCGAGATTATATATGATGATAATCCAGACCTTGATTACCATTAAACACATCTCTGAACGCTTACTATAAATTGAATAATGAATTCGTTAAAAATTAATATACGCTTATTTTTCTTAAGAAAAATAATGTAGCTGATTTTTTGTCATTGATCTACGTGTTTGAACTATCGAGATGTAGCTAGTTTTTATAGTAATATTACAACCATACCTAGGGTCAGCTCGGACAAACTGGGCGAGACATTTGTAGATTCAGCTCCAACACCCGGTTGCCTTGGAAACATGAGTATCAGATTTTGACGTCTTGATTCGTGAATTGACTCCGATATTTGTTCCAGCGTTCGAAGAGTGTCAGCATACTTGACTTTATAGCCCTTAATAGCTTGCTGTAGGTCCAGCACGTTCTGCTTCTGTTGCTATCTCAAATAGAAATCCATTGTTTATATTATTTACATTTGCAAGCAATGATGGGTTATTATTGATGAAATCCTGATGAATAAACATCAAATACTTAAAAACTAATAATATCTCTAAACTGAGATCAATTTATTCTTCTGGTAAAAAAAATCTTATTTCTCTTTACATGTAATTTAAATAAACTACCTTTCTGTATCATTTCTGAATGTCTTACGAACAAAATACCACTACTGTCATCTACAAACCTGTAGCCGCAAGTCCAGTTGTTGCTTCATCTCAAAGTAACTCCTGAAAAATACATCCATTGTTAATAGATCGCAAACAATTCCAGTAACAACGGGATCGACACCAGTTTTTAAAAATGTTCTATTTCAATTGCATTTGTGTCAAATCCGTGTTGCCAACACCATACGACAAAGACATCGTATAAAACAACAACATACTACAAAGACATCGTATAAAACAACACCATACTATAAATACATCGTATAAAACAACACCATACTACAAAGACATCATATAAAAAAACGCCATACAACAAAGACATCATATAAAACAACACCATACTACAAAGACATCGTATGAAACAACACCATACTACAAAGAAATCGTATAAAACAACACCATACTATAAAGACATCGTATAAAACAACGCCATACAACAAAGACATCGTATAAACCGGACCCTACTATAAAGACATCGTATAAAACAACACCATACTATAAAGACATCGTAATAAACAACGTCATACAACAAAGACATCGTACAAAACAACACCATACTACAAAGACATCGTATAAAACAACACCATACTATAAAGGCATCGTAATAAACAACGTCATACAACAAAGACATCGTACAAAACAACACCATACTACAAAGACATCGTATAAAACAACACCACACTACAGAGACATCATATAAAACAACACCATACTACAAAGACATCGTATCAAACAACAACATACTACAACGACATCGTATCAACCGGACACTGCTATAAAGACATCGTATATAAAACTACACCATACTACAAAGACATCGTATAAAACAACACCACACTACAGAGACATCATATAAAACAACACCATACTACAAAGACATCGTATAAAACAACACCACACTACAGAGACATCATATAAAACAACACCATACTACAAAAACATCTTATAAAACAACACCATACTACAAAAACATCATATAAAACAACACCATACTACAAAAACATCATACAAAACAACACCATACTACAAAAACATCGTATAAAACAACATCATACTACAAAAACATCATATAAAACAACACCATACTAAGGAGACATGGTATAAAACAACACCATACTACAGAGACATTGTATAAAACAACACCATACTACAATGACATCGTATAAAACAACACCATACTACAAAGACATCGTATAAAACAACACCATACTACAAAGACATCGTATGAAACAACAACATACTACAACGACATCGTATCAACCGGACCCTGCTATAAAGACATCGTATATAAAACTACACCATACTACAAAGACATCGTATAAAACAACACCATACTACAGATACATCATATAAAACAACACCATACTACAAAGACATCGTGTGAAACAACAACATACTACAACGACATCGTATCAACCGGACCCTGGTATAAAGACATCGTATATAAAACTACACCATCCTACAAAGACATCGTATAAAACAACACCATACTACAAAAACATCGTATAAAACAACATCATACTACAAAAACATCGTATAAAACAACATCATACTACAAAGACATCGTATAAAACAACACCATACTACAAAAATATCATATAAAACAACACCATACTACAAAGACATCGTATGAAACAACAACATACTACAAAGACATCCTATAAAACAACACCATACTACTGAGACATCATATAAAACAACACCATACTACAAATACATCTTATAAAACAACACCATACTACCAACACCATACTACAAAAACATCATATAAAACAACACCATTCTTCAAAGACATCGTATGAAACAACAACATACTACAAAGACATCCTATAAAACAACACCATACTACAAAAACATCGTATAAAACAACACCATAATACAAAAATATCATATAAAACAACGCCATACTACAAAGACATCGTATTAAACAACACCACACTACAGAGACATCGTATAAAACAATACCATACTACAAAGACATCGTATGAAACAACAACATACTACAAAGATATTGTATAAAACAACACCATACTACAGAGACATTGTATAAAACAACACCATACTATAAAGACATCGTATAAAACAACACAATACTACAGAGACATCATATAAAACAACACCATTCTTCAAAGACATCGTATGAAACAACAACATACTACAAAGACATCGTATGAAACAACAACATACTACAAAGATATTGTATAAAACAACACCATACTATAAATACATCGTATGAAACAACACCATACTACAAAGACGTCATATTAAACTACGCCATACTACAAAGACAAAGATATCGTATAAAACAACCCCATACTACAAAAATATCATATAAAACAACACCATTCTTCAAAGACATCGTATGAAACAACACCATACTAATAAAACAACACCATACTACAGAGACATCGTATAAAACAACACCATACTATAAAAACATCGTATGAAACAACCCCATACTACAAAGAAATCGTATAGAAAACAACACCATACAAATGTACTACAAAGACATCGTATAGAAAACAACACCATACAAATGTACTACAAAGACATCGTATAGAAAACAACACCATACTATAAAGACATCGTATAACACAACACCATACTACAGAGACATGATATAAAACAACACCATACTACAAAGACATCGTATAAAACAACGCCATACTACAAAGACATCATCTACAAAAATATCATATAAAATAACGCCATACTACAGAGACAACGTATAAAACAACACCATATTACAAAGACATCGTATAGAAAACAACACCATACAAATGTACTACAAAGACATCGTATAGAAAACAACACCATACTACAAAAACATCATATAAAACAACACCATACTACAAAGACATCATATTAAACTACGCCATACTTCAAAGACATCATATAAAACAACACCATTCTATAAAACCATCGTAAAAAACAACACCATACTAAAAAGACATCGTATAGAAAACAACACCCTACTAAAAAGACATCGTATAGAAAACAACACCATACTACAAAGCCATCGTATAAAACAACACCACACTACAGAGACATCGTATAAAACAATACCATACTACAAAGACATCTTATAAATCAACACCATACTACAAAGACGTCATATTAAACTACGCCATACTTCAAAGACATCATATAAAAAAACATCGTATAAAACAACATAAACAACACCACACTACAGAGACATCGTATAAAACAACATCATACTACAGAGACATCGTAAAAAACAACACCATACTACAAAGACATCGTATAAAACAACACCATACTACAGAGACATCGTATAAAACAATACCATACTACAAAGACATCGTATAAAACAACACCATACTACAAAGACATCGTATAAAACAACACCATACTACAGAGACATCGTATAAAACAACACCATACTACAAAGACATCATATTAAACTACGCCATACTACAAAGACATCATATAAAACAACACCATTCTATAAAACCATCGTAAAAAACAACACCATACTACAAAGACATCTTATAAAACAACACCATACTACAAAGACATCGTATAGAAAACAACACCATACTACAAAGACATCGTATTAAACAACACCACACTACAGAGACATCGTATAAAACAACATCATACATGTACTACAGAGACATCGTAAAAAACAACACCATACTACAATGACATCGTATAAAACAACACCATACTACAAAGACATCGTATCAAACAACACAATACTACAAAGACATCGTATAAAACAACACCATACTACAAAGACATCGTATAATATAACACCATACTACAAAGACATCGTATAGAAAACAACACCATACTACAAAGGCATCGTATTGAAAACAACACCATACTACAAAGACATCGTAGAAAACAACACCATACTACAAAGACATCGTATTAAACAACACCACACTACAAAACAACCGTAAAAAACAACACCATACTACAAAGACATCGTATAAAACAACACAATAGTACAAAGACATCATATAAAACAACGCCATACTACAGAGACATCGTATAAAACAACACCATTCTATAAAACCATCGTAAAAAACAACACCATACTACAAAGACATCTTATAAAACAACACCATACTACAAAGACATCGTATAGAAAACAACACCATACAAATGTACTACAAAGACATCGTATAGGAAACAACACCATACTAAAAAGACATCGTATAGAAAACAATACCATACTACAAAGACCTCGTATTAAACAACACCACACTACAAAACAACCGTAAAAAACAACATCATACTATAAAGACATCGTATAAAACAACACCATACTAAAAAGACATCGTATAGAAAACAACACCATACTACAAAGACATCGTATTAAACAACACCACACTACAAAACAACCGTAAAAAACAACACCATACTACAAAGACATCGTATAAAACAACACCATACTACAAAGACATCATATAAAACAACACCATACTACAGAGACATCGTATAAAACAACATCATACTACAAAGACATCGTCTAAAACAACACCATACTACAAAGACATCGTATAAAACAACACCATACTCATACTACAGAGACATCGTAAAAAACAACACCATACTACAAAGACACAAAGACATCATATAAAACAACACCATACTACAAAGACATCATATTAAACAACGCCATACTAAAAAGACATCATATAAAACAACACCATTCTATAAAACCATCGTAAAAAACAACACCATGCTACAAAGACATCTTATAAAAAACACCATACTACAAAGACATCGTATAAAACAACACCATACCACAAAGACATCGTATAAAACAACACCATACTACAATACCATACTACAAAGACATCGTATAAAACAACACTATACTACAAAGACATCGTATAAAACAACACCATACAATACATCGTATAAAACAACACCATACTACAAAGACATCTTATAAAACAACACCATACTACAAAGACATCATATAAAACAACACTATACTTCAAAAACATCATATAAAACAACATCAAACTATAAAGACATCGTATAAAACAACACCATACTACAGAGACATCTTATAAAACAACACCATACTACAAAGACATCGTATAAAACAACACCACACTACAGAGTCATCATATAAAACAACACCATTCTACAAAGACATCGTATAAAACAACACCATACTACAGAGACATCGTATTAAACAACACCACACTACAGAGACATCGTATAAAACAACACCATACTACAAAAACATCATATAAAACAACACCATACTATAAAAACATCATATAAAACAACATCATACTATAAAGACATCGTATAAAACAACACCATACTACAAAAACATCATATAAAACAACACCATACTACAGAGACATTGTATTAAACAACACCACACTACAGAGACATCGTATAAAACAACACCACACTACATAGACATCATATAAAACAACACCATACTACAGAGACATCGTATAAAACAACACCATACTACAAAGACATCATATAAAACAACATCATACTATAAAGACATCATATAAAACAACACCATACTACAAAGACATCGTATAAAACAACACCACACTACAGAGTCATCATATAAAACAACACCATTCTACAAAGACATCGTATAAAACAACACCATACTACAGAGACATCGTATAAAACAACACCATACTACAAAGACATCGTATAAAACAACACCATACTACAAAGACATCATATAAAACCCCTTTCCCAACTAACATAGGTTTACACTACAACATTTCACTATAAAGAAATCAACACTCCATTCAAGCGCCAGTTGCTTAAAGACATTAAGACGTGTTTTATCAACGTAAATCGCATCTCTTGTCTTTGGACCCTGGTCCCAGCATACCTTGCGTTTGATATAGCTCGTTTAAACTTCCGCTGTAATTCATGTGTCCTCTTTTCTAAGTCTCGCCAGCGAAACGTTGTTTTCTGATGTTTTTCCTCACTAATCCTCTTTTCCCGCTCAGCTTCCATCACCTAGTTAACCAGAAAATAGAAGTCACTGCCGATACATCTTGACTGATCGAGTGATATTTACAATCCTTAATAAGAATGGTATTATTTTTTGTTATAAGTCTGAAGATTGGTTGAAAAATGTACACACGTGTGATGATATATCACTCTGCTGTAAGCAGTAGACAGCTGTCAGAAAGAAACCGAGCAGTAGTAACCAGAACTGTAAGGTAAAGGCTTACTAAGGAAAAGCAATAAAGTCTCCCACCAGTAACAAGTATTTCGCACAAAGGGGCTCCATCAAAAAAGGTTGAAATCCCAAATTAAAATGCCGGTGCACAACTACATAGGATACCGATCATTCATGCAAATTTTCAATGAAATCCACCTTTTAGTTAAGGAGGAGTTTTCCGGACAAGTTACTGTGGACGACATCCAGACATCCAGACGGATAGAGATCCAGACAGGGTGATTCCAGTATACCCCCCTACCCCACCCCCTAACTTCGTTGCGGGGGTATCATGACGGAGTAATCCAGTAATATGATGAAATCATGTGTACAGAGTGCACAACTGATATCTAGGTTAACACAGCTTCATAGAGAATTAACATCAGCCAGGTTAACACAGTTTCCTAGAGAATTAACATCAGCCAGGTAAACACAGCTTCCTAGAGAATTAACATCAGCCAGGTTAACACAGTTTCCTAGAGAATTAACATCAGCCAGGTTAACACAGCTTCCTAAAGAATTAACATCAGCCAGGTTAACACAGCTTCCTAGAGGATTAACATCAGGCAGGTTTACACAGCTTCCTAGAGAATTAACATCAGCCAGGTTAACACAGCTTCCTTGAAGATTAACTTAAACTAGGTTAACAAACATCCCTGGAGAATTAACATAAACTGATATCTAGGTTAGCACAGCTCTCTACAGAATTAACATAAACTGATATCTAGATTAACACAGATTCATAGGGAATTAACATAAACTGATAACTAGGTTAGCACAGCTTTCTACAGAATTTACATAAACTGATATCTAGATTAACACAGCTTCCTAGAGAATCAACATCAACTGATATCTAGGTTAAAACGGCTCCCTAGAGAATTAATATAAACTGATATCTAGATTAACACAGCTTCATAGAGAATAAACATAAACTGATATCTATATTAACACAGCTTCATAGAGAATTAACATAAACTGATATCTAGGGTAGCACAGCTTTCTAGAGAATTAACATAAACTGATATCTAGGTTAACACAGCTTCCTACAGAATCAATATAAACTGATATCTAGATTAACACAGCTTCATAGAGAATTAACATCAACTGATATCTAGGTTAACACAGCTTCCTACAGAATTAACATAAACTGATATCTAGGTTAACACAACTTCCTACAGAATCAATATAAACTGATATCTAGGTTAACACAGCTTCCTAGAGAATCAATATAAACTGATATCTAGGTTAACACAGCTTCCTACAGAATTAAAATAAACTGATATCTAGGTTAGCACAGCTACATAGAGAATTACCAAAAACTGATATCTAGGTTAGCACAGTTTTCTACAGAATTAATATAAACAGATATCTAGATTAACACAGCTTCATAGAGAATTAAAATAAACTGATATCCACGTAAACAAAGCTTCCTAAAGAATATTCATAAACTAGGTTAAAACAGCTTCCTAGAGAATTAACATCAACTGATATCTAGGTTAAAACAGCTCCCTAGAGAATAAATATAAACTGATATCTAGGTTAAAACAGCTCCCTAGAGAATAAATATAAACTGATATCTAGGTTAACACAGCTTCATAGAGAATAAATATAAACTGATATCTAGGTAAACACAGCTTCCTACAGTATTAACATAAACTGATATCTAGATTAACAAAGCTTCATAGAGAATTAACATAAACTGATACCTAGGTTAAAACAGCTCCCTAGAGAATAAATATAAACTGATATCTAGGTTAAAACAGCTCCCTAGAGAATAAATATAAACTGATATCTAGGTTAAAACAGCTCCCTAGAGAATTAACATAAACTGATATCTATGTTAACACAGCTTCCTACAGTATTAACATAAACTGATATCTATATTAACATAGCTTTCTACATAATTAACATAAACTGATATCTTGGTTAACACCGCTTCCTAGATAATTAACATAAACTGATATCTAGGTTAACACAGCTTCCTACAGAATTAACATAAACTGATATCTAGGTTAACACAGCTTGATAGAGAATTAACATAGGCTGATATCTAGGTAAACACAGCTTCCTACAGAATCAACATAAACTGATATCTAGGTTAATACAGCTTCCTACAGAATTAACATAAACTGATATCTAGATTAACACAGCTTCCTACTGAATTAACATAAAATGATATCTAGGTAAACACAGCTTCCCACTGAATTAACATAAACTTTATACAGCTTCCTTCAGAATTAACACAAAATAATATCTAGGTTAACACAGCTTCCTAGAGAATTAACAAAAACTGATATCTAGGTTAACACAGTTTCTTAGAGAATTAACATAAACTGATATCTAGGTAAACACTGCTTCATAGAAAATTAACATAAACTGATATCTAGGTCAGCACAGC